GACCCTGCAGACAAGGCTAAGAAACAAGCAGCACTTAGTCGTATTGGAGAGAGAGTAAGTTCAAACTGGGATAAGTATTTTTATCATTGTTCTCTCCCTGCGCTATTCAGCCTCCTTTCAATTCAAGAGAACCGTTTTATTTTATCTTTTAAAAATACGTGTTTCAGCCTCACCGATATATATATATAGTCCCACTTTCATTTCATCCATTGTTCTGCCCTGTCAATATAGTCAGTGCATCTTTGTTAATTCTATACTTCGTTCTTTCAGAGAGTCTGTGGACGTGTTTTCATTGGCTGCCTTAGGAAGACTAAAGCTCGATGCAAATTGATTCCCGTCTGCAAAGTCAAGTATTTTGCCTGTCGATGCGTCCTCAAAGGAGTAAGAAAATGCAAAAAATTCCTTCACTTCGTTCGTGTCATGGCCCAAAAACACAAAGGACACAAACACGACGAGGTTGAAGAAGACGAAGAGGACCCAAAACGAAAGAGACGAAGAATGCCGAAATTTGTAGTAAGTAGACCGTCCCATCCTCACCTCCTGAAAAAGCTAAGAAGATCATGATAAACCATYCTGTGTCATTTTCAATCTCTAATAAGATGTTTTTCCAATCTTTAGAAACTCTGCAAGGCTGGATTCCGTCGATGCGCACGAGGAAAGAAATTCTGTGGCGGATGTTTGAGACAATTTGGCGCTTGCATCCGACGACACGTCATCAAGAAGCTCTGCAGCAAGAAGAAGGAAGGAAAGAAGTCCGATGAACCAGAAGATGACGAAGAATCCATCATGGCTGATGCTGTCGAGAATGATGAAGATGAGACGGAAACAGAAATCGAAGAAGAAGATGACGGGAAGGATTTGATCAGCAAGAAGAGACGTCCCAACAAGGTAAGRAGATGTAGCTATATTGCGACCTGCCTTAAAAAAACCTTTATATTTTATCGATCGAACCATAAAACTGCATGGCTAGCTTATAKAATTTAGATTCAGATTATGCAAGGGCAAGATCTTTGAACGAAAATTTCCAACCATTATTAACGTCCGTTTTCCCTTATCATAATTGCTGACTGTAGCCTTTACTTTTCTCTTTGCAGAAGATAATTCGCTGTGCCAAGTATGGTGTTCGATGCATGTTGAGAGCCCGTCTTAACTGCAGAAGACAAGGTCGTTGTGTTCGCCGTGTMATGAAGTGCGTGCGTCGTGCCCGTCGCCGCCCACGTCCAACTGCCGGTAAACAATAAACAAGACAAGCCACTAGAAAGTTTGAATACACGGCTTTAATCATGATTGTGATTCAATGATCGATAAATAAAACCTATAGACGAAATAAAARGCATTTGAAAAGCAGACTAATGTTGTAATGCTTATGACATTGCGTAAGGCACTTCTCAAAGATATACCTGTCCTTTTTGCTTGTTGTTTTATCTACCCTTCATATTTAGATTGCAGGTCACTGGGAATGGAAAATAGAATCACAAAATTAGTGTTTCCCCAATACCTAGTTTCATCACTGGGACTGGGATTTAGCTCACTGGGAATGGGAAGTAGAATCA